TTTTTCTTTGTTGTAGTCATCTTACTAAATACCACACCTAAAATTCAGGCATCCCACAGGTTGTCTTGAATGTGATTATTTAGATAGGGTGATACGTTCATCTAAACTAATCCAGTTAAGGGTAACTTAATTAAGAGAATAAAACTTGCCAGCACTTTCCTCCTTCTAGAGGCATATTACATTAGAGCAGTACTGTATTTGCACTTTCTGAAAAAACACGGGCAGAAAAAAAGAGGAATCGCAGAGTCTGAAATTTGAATGTGACCTGAGAGTTCATCAGTGCTACCCTTCCACATCCAAATAATTTATTTCTAAAACGAAATTTTAACGTCTTACTTAAAGCTGATGTGACTTAAAATACTTAGCAGTTTATTCCAGAGTAACTGAGTTTGTCTCACAGAAAGCATAGTAAGTTGCAAGTGGATAATGTTTTTACATAATGTTGGTCCAGGTAAACAAGTACAGAATTACTATTCCTATGAAACCACTGAAATGTTTTCTGAGAATTGTAACACAGCATGTTGTAGTTTAGAGGCACGTTACATCAGTAATTAAACTTTTAATTCCTTAGTTGTTCTAAAGTTTGTCTTATTTTTGTTACTTGTTGCCTGTTTTCAACTAAGAAATATAAAATGATTAGTGTTGAAAAAATGGGCTTCTTATATGTTTCTTTAGACTATTTATCTCAGATATATATTCTGAATACAATCATCTGTTCTATTTATATGGTAAATTTAAAGGTTATAGTCTTTTTTCTTTATACAACTGCTCAAATTTTTCATATTGTCTTCTGTTTCTGAGTTTGGACAACGGATGTAAGATTTCTCAAACCGCAGGTCACATTTTACTTCCATAGGCGTATTTTTTGAAACGGCAAAATCCCTCAGGCTGTGTGATTTTCACAAGTGTGTGTGTTTAAAGTTCATAGTCAAACAACTAAATAAATCATGGAACACATTTTCTCTCCGTGCCTGGGAAATGCAAATTATTACAGGTCAATTGCGGAGAGGTCCTGTCTCCCTCTCATACATCTTGTTCGCAATTTGTTTTCCATTTATTCCAAGTGTACACAGTTCATTTTTGCATTTGCTTCTTATTTACATGTTTTTCAGTTGTCTGCAAAGTTTGCTTTAACATGAAGAGAAACTATTCCCCCTTGACTGGGCCTTCCTCAAGGTACTGACTGTTTATAAACATGAATGTGTCTAGCTGTGCAAGAGCTGCTGTCCTAAACTTCCAGGGTCTGGAGGGGGAAATTATTGCTCACATACCGCCTTGATTACTTGGTCTACTCATATACAAAGGAATATTAACCAACAAAGAGGCAAGATCATAGCTAAGCTAGGAAACAGATCTGTCTTGCGGTGGGTCACACATACTAATGCATACCCTGGAAAAGGATCTTTTCAAACACAGGGCAAGAGCCCAAGCTTGGAGTCACACAGATCTGAAGTCCCACTGTAGTCTACCATGTAGTAGCTCTGTGACCTTAGGTGTGCTTTGTAACTTCTCTGAGCTTCCTTTTCCCCAACTGAAAAAATGAGCATGCTAGCCCCACCTCGCGGGACTATTCGAGAAACAGGAAAGGAGGAAGGAAGACACTTGGCAAAACACCAGTGGTGTACTATAAACCTGCTCTCGGTTTAAAAAAAAGAAAAAAAAAAGGCCTTGTTTGCCTTGGTTTGTAGTGTTGTATAAATACTCCCACCATGGCTGATTTTAAACTGTGAATTATTTAACAACCACCTGGTAAAATTCCTGAATATTTAACAGTCCCCTGGTACCATCCAAGCCCAGCACAATGTTGTTAGTCCTCAATAAATGGTAGTAATTATTTCTTAATAGTTATATTTTGTCTTCCATTGATCTAGGAAAACTTACTATTTGGTAAAAGTTCTGTATAGATGGAGGATGTGAAAGCTAAGGAAAGAATAGTAATTTATAAGGCTTAAAATATTAGTGACTTTAAATAACAAAAAAGAGCTACCTTAATTTTGAAAGTAGGTGAAAAACATAAAAAGAAGAAAACAACATTTTCATAATAAGAAAATATGTTAGTCAAATGTTTTAAAAGTAAGAGTAAGGGTCACTTTGTAAGATGTTCTAGATGAATTAAATTTAATATTAACTTTTTCAGGATTGGTTTGAACTAGCTTGACTTTTCTGGTCTTAGTTTCTTTAATCCACATAAAAAAATCTTAAGTGGAAAACTGTGTATTTTATGCCTAACCACGTAGAGATAAACTGACAGCCATTACTTTAAAACCCAGTGATTTATAAAAAAGCTTTCTTTAATTTTATCCAGTAACTATTTTATATCGTTCAAGACTGATTTTAGATTTTAAAAGTTGGCTGCAATCATGTATTTTTTTGAAATGTTCCTTTACTGAGTAACCATGGTTATTTGTTTTTTTTGTAATAATAAAAACTTGCGCGGATATTCTGACATGATGGACAAGGGCTGGCACACTTAAACGGAAACTGCTTCAGAACATCTGGACATGTGAAGCCTGCAAAGAGCTTTCATGTAACAGTAAACATTTCAGTTTACCAAGTACAAAATTGTGGGTGATCTAGGAAGAAATCACCAGAATTGAGCATCATTGATTAAATTAGCTTGTGCTGAGAGCACCGCTTTTTTTCCATGTGCATTTTCTGTACCATGAGCAGTCAGTGCTGGGACAACATGCCTGGGCAGGTGGGTAAACGTAAGGGTATTTTGGTGAGCAAGAGCTGACTTACTCCCGTGAAACTCCTCTGTCCATACAGCAAGAGGAATCTCTGGTATGTGAGCACTGAAAGGAGCCAAGCGTGTTTTCTGTGTTAATCTTGCTCGCAAAGTGACGGAAGTAATTGGCAGTGTAGCCTAACATGATATTGCCTAGAATTCCACTTTTACATACAGAACAGGGCTGTGAGGAGGAACTGGGATGACAGTGTATGTTAAAATCCAAAAACTGTCATCCTGCTGAAGTGAAAGGTACAGGTTTCCCTCACTATCTGAAAGTAGAGTGTTCCTATGAAACCTGTTGAAAAATGAATTGGCATAAAGTGAAGAAGCAATTACCATTAATTTATATGGGAAACATTTTTGAGTGTTCCCAGACTCAAAAAATAACCTACTAAATCATATCATGTAATTCATAAAACCTAAAATAGCACTAACATGCAGTAGAAGCAGGAATGGTATGAGTACAAGCCTATATAAGGTAGAAATAATGTATATACCATATAGATTCACTTAGCAGAATCGGGAAGCCAGCAGGCACACTGGAGGCTAAGAGGTGATGGTGGTGATGCTGGTGGTATGCTGAGTCATCAGAGATTGGGGCGGGAGGAGGCACAGGAGACTTGCATGTAGAAGAGCAAGGAAGAAGGTCATCTATTAACGTCTCATCTCACTATGTCTGAATCCATCAGTTCAGGCAGGTCACTGAGGTCCACACCTTCTATGTCTGCCTGCCTCAATGTTGAAGGTCGAGGTTCATCGTCTACTGTGGCCCATGTGGCTGATGTGGAAGGCTTGAAATACGATAGGCTCACTGCAAAACAAATGCTAAATGCTGTTTTTGCTTTTTCTCATAAAAGTGAAAATCCTCTTTGGATTTCTTTCGGTTAGTGAAAACATGTACAAGTGTTGGTCTTTCGTAAAAGCAAAGTGGTGTAAAGCAAACTTCCGGATAGTGGGGCAATCCTGTACTCATTGTAGCCTGTGGCCCCAAATGCAAATACCTGTTTCTCTGGGGATGCACGTGTCTCTTTCTAAATGCACATGACTGTGGACATATTTACTGTTTCTAGAAATGTAATGGATGCACGTGAAAATATATTCCACGAAGTAATTAAATGGCATTCTGAGGGTTTGATCAGATTCGGAGAAAGAGAGAGAGAATGTACTTTCTCTTACCTGTGTAAATTAACACGCTTCTCAGTGCGTGAGTTGCCTTTATGATCATCACCATTCTGTATAAGGGAAAAGGTTAAATGGTTAAGCTGATATGCTTTTTTCAGTTTCATATTACATAAGTAAAGTCAAAGGGTGGAAACGATTTTTTTTTTCCATTGACACAAAATGTGATTACTCGCTGTCCTTGTGAAAAGATAGATGATCAGCCTTCCGGATAAGGCTGGCTGATATTTCTATAGATTAGATGCAAAAAAATGTGAGAAGCATCAATGGGCAGCTCTTTCAACTGTCCATTTCTTGGACTCTTTCCCACGGTAACTAATTCATTCTTTAAAAGATTTGGCATGTTACAAGCTAATTTGGAAGCTTTACCTGGAGTTGATACCCATAAGAAATGAAAATGGTTATATTTCAAGGATCCTAGGGGCAGAATTCCCATAGGCAAGTCAGTGCTGCTGCTGCTTTTTTTTTCATGCAATTCATTCTGCAAGCAAAAACCAAAACTGAGGGCAACTATTTAGAAAATGAAAATATATTTAGGGTATTTTGGCAGATTATATTTTTAAACATATTTCCCTTCTGAGCTGAAGGGTTGGAAACAAGAAAAATCCTATTTTATTAAAATCCTGGATTTAGGGCTTTTCTTTTAGATGAAACTCTGCCTAACAAGAAAATATTAATATTGAGATAGATATGTAGGCTTTGGAACATAATAATTATAATGATACCAATCATTTATTAAGTGTGTATTGTCTACTTGGCACCACATTATCTCATTGATCCTCAGAACAACTCTACAAGTCAGGGATTTTATTATTTTCTCCCTTATGTAGGAAAGGCAACTAAGGGCTAGAAATTTGAAGTAATTTCATCCAAGTTTACTTTACTGTAAGAGATGGAATGGGGATTTCAACGGAGGAAAACTCATGTAGAATTTACATTCTTAACCACTAAATTGTGTTTTCCATCAAAATTCATAATTTCATACATGTGTTGGAAAGTGTCAAAGTCGAGTGCAAATTGACCCCTGTTTTCGTGTGGATGGTGGCATGGAATCTCTGAATGATTGAAACCCTTGTTTCTCTGCCCGTAGGCCCCTGGGGAAGGTGTACAGGCGACTGCGGGCCAGGAGGAGTCCAGAGTCGTGCACTGTGGTGTTTCCACTTTGAGGGGTGGACAAGTCACCTGTCTAACTGTGATGAGAACAACAGGCCTCCGAAGGAAAGAAGCTGCTTCCGAGTCTGTGACTGGCACAGCGACCTCTTCCAGTGGGAGGTTTCTGACTGGCACCACTGTGTGCTTGTTCCTTCTGCCCTTGGCCAAACCAAACCTCGGACTGCAGAGTGTGTGACGGCTCAGCATGGACTACAGCACCGGACCGTGCACTGTATTCAGAAGTTGAACAGAACCATGGTTGTAAATGAAATCTGTGAACACTTTGCCCCCCAGCCCCCCACAGAACAAGCTTGCCTCATCCCTTGCCCCCGGGATTGTGTTGTATCTGAGTTCTCAGAATGGTCCAAGTGTAGCAAGGGATGTGGGAAGCAATTGCAACACAGAACTCGCACGGCCATTGCTCCCCCTCTCTACGGAGGTTCGCCATGTCCCAATCTGACTGAGTCAAGAGCCTGTGACACTCCCATTTCCTGTCCTCTTGGAGAAGAGGAATATACTTTTAGCCTTAAAGTTGGACCATGGAGTAAATGTAGACTGCCTCATCTTAAAGAATTTAACCTAAGCGGAAGAACTGTTCTGGATTTTAGCTCTGATTCAAAGGAACGAGTCACCTTTAGACATCAAAGTTACAAGTCACATCACCATTCCAAGCCCTGGGACATAGAGATAGGTTATCAAACCCGGCAGGTTTGGTGCACAAGAAGTGATGGGAAAAATGCGATGTTAAGGTAGGTGGCCTTCAGCGTTTATATCTTTGATTCACCCAAATATTTTACAGGACAATTATATAACGTTTCTTTATGATTTTCTGCAAAGGGAAAATTGTCCTCCGGTTTGGGATTTGGGGTTTTAGAAGTTTCATTTGAGAAGTTTTCAATTTCAGTTGTAAAAATTTCAATGTCTACACCAGGCAATGCTCTGAATTCTAGCATAATTAGCAGTACAACTATGTAGGTAAGTCATATATTTCCAGATTTTATCAAGACATCAACCAGTTGAAAAAAATAGGTCTTTTGATAATATAGTAATAAAAGACTGAGCCTTTTATTATAATGATAAAAAAAGCAGTTCCCTCTCAAATTTGAGATGTAAATTATGTAAGTATTTAGCATTTTCATAATGCATGTTTTTTAAAGTTATTTTTGTTTACTTTTGTTTTCATGATTAACAGGATTCTTTTACATCTGAGTTGTAGGTTTTTTACAGCAGTAATAATACGAATAAGTTAATCTAAGAATGCTTTCTTTGGCATTGATTTGATAAAAATATTAACTTGCAAAGCAATAATTAGGATTACAACCCTATAGAGACAATAGACTAAAACTTTTGAAAGCAATAGTTTAGGCTTAAAACTTATTTGTAACTGGGGGCCAGCCCAGTGGCAAAGTGGTTAAGTTTGTATGCTCTGCTTTGGCAGCCCAGGGTTTGCCGGTTCAGATCCTGGGCACAGACCTGCTTACTGCTTATCAAGCCATGCTGAGGCAGTGTCCTGCATATAAAATAGAGGAAGATGGGCATGAATGTTAGGTCAGGGCCAATCTTCCTCAGCAAAAAGAGGAGGCTTGGCGGTGGATGTTGGCTCAGGGCTAATCTTCCTAAAAAAAAAAAAACGATTTGTAATTGTTTTACTTTTAATTGTTTACTTTAAATTGTATAAAACCTCATAATGTAAGCTCATAGAAATATGTTGAAAGTAGTATTTGTTTAATTTTCCCCCAGAAGATCTTAAATGGAAGTGCTGGTATGTTACAAAGTTTCTTCTAAATTAAGATACCTTCAATAGTACTTAAATTACCAAACAATAAAACACTCATCTCTAGAATTAATCATTATCATCAGTTACTGTTTTCTTGGGATCTAAGCTGGCTGGGAAAAGCTTAAAAGACTACTTCTGCTATTCAAGAACAAAGTAATGTGATGATGTGATGACTGGTTTTTTTTTTTTATTTGACTTCACAAATGAGCCTATTTTATCTTTGATGCTTCATTTTGATTTATGCCATATACAACTGCCAAGTCCATTGAAGAGTGATTTTCTGCCTTTCGTGGCCTGCCTCTGTGAAGCCCAAAAGATTAAGCTGATGATTTGGGTGATTATGGTTTGAATGTGTATGGAAGATTCTGTAAAAATTTTGTTTCCTTAATATTCCATATTGGATATTACATGGAATGTTTTCACTTTTAGTTTGCTTGTTTTTACCATGTGCAAATTTTTAACTCACAGACCTTATTTTTTAGAGCAGTTTTAGGTTTACAGAGAAACTAAGCAGAAAATACAGAATTCCCATACACCTTCTCATCTGTCCCCCTTCACACATACACGATTTCATACGTACATCTTGCATTAGTCTAGTACATTTGTTAAAATGGATGTCAATATTGATATATTACTATAGTGCATAGTTTACGTTAGCATTCACTCTTTGTGTTGTACATTGGGTGGGTTTGGACAAATGTATAATGACTTGTATCCACCATTACTATAGCATACAGAATAGGTTCACTGTCCTAAAAGTCTTCTGTGCTCCACCTATTGACCCCACCCTTCCTCTTCTGAAACCTCTGGCAACCAGTGATCTTTTTACTGTCTCCATAGTTTAGCCTTTTCCAGAATGTTATGTAGTTGGAGCAATACAGTATATAGCCTTTCCTAATTGGCTTATTTCAGTTAGCAATATGCATTTAAAATTCCTCCATGTCTATGCGTGGCTTGATAGCTGAGTTCTTTTTATGACTTAATAGTATCCCATTGTATGGATGTACCACAGTTCGTTTATCCATTCACCTACTGAAGGACATCTTGATTGCTTCCAAGTTTTGGCAATTATAAGTAAAGCTACTATAAACATTCATGTGCAGATTTTTATGTGTACGTATGTTTTCAACTCATTTGGGTAAATACAAATGGGCACAGTTCCTGGATATTATGGTAAGAGTATGCTTAGTTTTATATGAAATTGCCAGACTGTCTTCCAAAGTGGCTGCATCATTTTTCATTCCCACCAGCAATGAATAAGAGTTCCTATTGCTTCACTTCCTGACCAGCATTTGGTGTCATCAGTGTTGTGGATTTTAGACATTTTATTAGGTGTGTAGTGGTATCTTGTTTTAATTTGCAGTTCCTTAATGGCATATGATGTTCAGCATCTTTTGATATACTTATTTGCCATCTGTGTATCTTCCTTGGTGAGGTATCTCTTCAGATCTTTTGCCTATTTGTTGTCATTTTTTTCCTTGTTGTTGAGTTTTAAGAGTTCTTTGTATATTTTGAATACCAGTCCTTTATCAGGTGTGTGTTTTGAAAATCTTTTCTTCTAGTCTGTGCCCTATATTTCCATTCCCTTAACAGTGTCTTTCACAGAGAAGAAGTTTTTTAAGTTAATGAAGTCTAATTTATCAATATTTCTTTCATGGATCATTCTTTGGTGTTACATCTTAAAAAAAAAATCAGCAAATCCAAGGTGAACAAGATTTTTCTCCTATGTTATCTTCCAGGAGTTTTACCGTTTTGCATTCTACATTTAGGTCTGTGATTCATTTGGAGTTAGTTTTTAGGGAAGATATAAAGTCTGTGCTTGGATTCATTTTTTTAAATGTGCCTGCCCAGTTATTCTAGCAGCATTTGTGAAAAAGACTATCCTTTCTCCGTTGAGTTACCTCTGCTCCTTTGTCAAAGATCAGTTGACTCTATTTGTGTGGATCTATTTCTGGGCTCTCTATCTTGATTCCATTATCTGTTTATCTATGCTTTGCCAATTACACAGTCTTAAATACTGAACCTTTATATTAAGTCTTGAAGTTGGCTAGTGTTAGTCGTCTGAATTTGTTCTTTTTTAATGTTGTGTTGTCTGTTCTGGGTTGTTTGTCTTTCCATATAAACTTTAGAATCAGTTTGTTGATATCTACAAAACAATTTTCCAGGATTGTTTTTGGGATTGCTCGTAATGTATCGATCATTTGGGAAGAACTAAAGTCTTGATAATATTGAGTCTTCCTATCTTTGAACACGGGATATCTGTCCATTTATGTAAATCTTCTTAGATTTCTTTCAGCAGAATTTTATACTTTTTCTCACATAGATCTTGTGCATATTTTGTTCAATTGACACGTATTTCATATATTTTTGATGCTGATATAAATGTATTGTTTAATTTCAAATTCCATTTTTTCATTGCTGGTATACCAGAAAGCAGCCAACGTTTGTATATTAACCTTTTATCCTGCAACCTTGTTATAATTGCTTGTTAGTTCCAGAAGGTTTTTACTGTTCTTGTTCTTGCTGTTAATTCTTTGGGATTATCTATGTAGAACAAGCATATCATTTACAAACAAAGACAGTTTTATTTCTTCCTTTCCAATCTGTACACCTTTTATTTCCTTTTCTTGTCTCATTGAATTATCTAGAACTTCCAGTATGATATCAAATAGGAGTGGTGACAAGGGACATCCTTGCCTTTTTCCTGATCTTAGCAGGAAAACATCTGGTTTCTTACCATTAAGTATGACATTAACTGTAGTTTTTTTGTGGATGTTCATTATCAAGTTGAAGAAGTCCCACTCTGTTCCTAATTGCTGAGAATTTTTATTGTGTATAGGTGCTGGTTTTTGTCACGTGCTTTTCCTGCATGTTTAGACATGATTATTTGATTTTTCTTCTTAGTCTGTTGATACAATAGATTGCATTAATTGATTTTTGAATGTTGAACCAGCTTTGCATACCTGGAATAAATTACACTTGATTATGGTGTATTATTCTTTTTATATGTTGCTGGATATTATTTACTAATATTTTCTTGAGAATTTTTGCATACATGTTCATGAGAGCTGTTGGTCTTAGCTTTCCTTTCTTGTAATGTCTTTGTCTGGTTTTGGTATCAGGGTAATACTGGCCTCACAGAATGAATTGGGAAGTATTTCCTCTCCTTTGATTTTCTGAAATAGATTGTAGAAAATTGGCATATTATTTTCCTTGAATGTTTGGTAGAATTCAACAGTAGACCCATTTGGGCCTGGTGCTTTCTCTTTTCACAAGTTATTAATTGTTGATTCAATTTCTTTAACAGATATATACCTATTCAGATTATATGTTTCTCCTTGTGTCAGTTTTAGCTGATTGTGTCTTTTAAGGAATTGGTACTTTTATCTAAGTTAACAAATATGTGGGCGTAGATGTGTTCTTAATATTACTTTATTATGCTTTTAATGTGTATGGGATCATTATTGATAATCCCTTTCGTTACTGATATTAGTACTTTGTGTCTTCTCATTTTTTTTCTTAGTTAATCTGTCTAAAGGTTTATCAATTTTATCAAACTTTTTAAAGAAACAGCTTTTGGTTTCAGTTATTTTCTCTATTGATTTTCTGTTTCCGATTTTGTTGATTTCAACTCTAATTTTTATTATTTTTGTTATGCTTACTTTGGCTTTAATATGCTTTTCTTTTTCTAGTTTCCTAAGGTAGAGGCTTAGGTTATTGATTTTAGATATTTCTATTTTTCTAATATGTGAATTCAATTCTATAATTTTCCCTGTAAACATTGATTTCACTGCATCCCACAAATTTTAATAAGTTGTATTTTCATTTTGATTTAATTCAAAATATTGTTTATTACTCTTGAGATTTTGTCTTTGGCCCATGCTTTATTTAGAAGTGTGCTGTTTGATTTCCAAGTATTTGGGGATTCTCCAGCCATCATTCTGTTATTGATTTTTAGTTTAATTCAGTTGT